GAAGACTCTGGGTTTGAGGCAGTTCTTATGTTGGAAGGATCTCTGGGAAAGAGGAGTTGTGAAGTCTATGGGTCATAGGGGAGTTCTTCAAGCCTGTTGTCTTGATTTTCCCACTCTTTCTGGATCATTGGGTTTCCTGCAGCTCTTTCTCTCTCTGCCATGTCCCTGCTGGATTGTTTGAGGTCTTTGGTTAGGTGGGAGTTGTTGATGCCCTTTTTTGCTATTATTGGAGGGGTATGTGAGGGATGCCTGTTTGTGGTTTTAGGTGGGAGCTGGTTTCTTCTGCATCCTCACAAGGTGGGAGTGTTAGGTTTTGGTTGTATTGGATGCAGAGCCACTGGGACAAATAGGTACAAACAGCTTGACTATGTACTGAGCCACTGTATTTCCTTTGTTCCTTAGTCCGTGCAATTGACCTTGCCTTCGGTTTGTGTATGTGTCTGGGTCTGGTGTGCTTATGGCCACCCATCTTATGCTTCCCTGTTCTGCCTGCTGCTAACACGAGGATACATATACTTCCATCTGAGGTGCAATCGCAATGACACCCCAGCCTCTGTCTATGGAACCCGTCAAGTGGCGAAGCACAGTTGTCCAGAGAGCATATGAGGAATTCTCAGTGAGCTGACGATTATGGTAGAAGGAATTGGTGTAATGAATCCCAATGATGATTGGTGGTATGAGGAAGGTCTCCTTCCAGTTCAGCAGAAATAAGTGAAAGCTATCACGACGACATACCAACAGCAAGGTTGCAATACTGGCTGCCTGTGACACTGACCGCAAACAACAGAAAAGCCTGCAAGACTGTTTGCTTCGCCTGGTCCTTTTGACAGGGCCGAGGTGGTATTGATAGAGAATATTGCAGACTCCTGATGTATTGTGCGTGTCACACAATAGATAGGGAGAGAAGGAATGCCAGGAATCTCGGTCTCAAGGTGGTAGCAGGCTGCATCTTATGTGGGTAGCACACACACGGAGAAAGCTAGCCAGTCAGCCGTCAACCACCACATCAACTGGAATAGACATAATCCATACTCAACCACTGTTACATCACTGTTTTCGATCCTACAATGGAGACACAGGAAGACGGATCCACTGCGGCTCAGTATTCTCTCCAAGAGCGTCTTTCAAGCCCTCTATCATCCCATTCAAGCGAGATGGCTCCAGCGATCCAGGAACTGAGGTAGATGCAATATAGACTATGCAGCACTTGCCCGCAAAGCTAGAACTCAGTAAGGGTCTGGGTCTGTTAGCGACAATCATGAACAAGATAGAATGTAGATACTTACGTCCCTGTGATAACCTTGCACTTCTCATAGTAAGGACCCAGGATACGCTCGCCGAATGCATCTAGAGGCCTGCCTGCGCCGAAGCGCTTGGCAAAGTCGGCCATGGTGAAATACCAACCCAAGATGTACATCGGTGGCAGCACATTATGCACCTCCGAAGATATCATGGGGGGTGTGCAGTGGCGAGGAAGGCGCATGGGGAAAATGTCCAGATGCTCGCCCGGCTTGACCTTTGCGGGTCTTGGTTTGGCTTGAGCATAGATCGTTTTAAAGTTGTCATGGCTGGCGTCGGAGTGAGTTTCCAAGAAGTTATCCTGGAATATGTGACATACTCTGCAGCCGTAGCCATGATGAACAGCTCAAGCGGATGGAAGGACGAAAGCAAGGATGGCAGTCAATAGCTAAGACGATGTTATGAGCCGCGCCTCAGGCCTCAGGGCACGCCACACGCAGTACTCATGGGGGTCGGCAACTCCTGCCAAATTTAAACTCCAACCCGCGCGTCACGCTTCAGCCACACCAGCCAGGAAACCTTTGCACCGTGCAGTGCAAACTTTGGGCTCAGTAGCTACTTTAAAATTGGGAAACAAATTGTAGATATTCTTTTGTATAGCGAAGAATCTATTCTTCCCGTCCAATTTTGCGATTTTGGCCTTGAAGGTAGAAAACCGGTCAATTATGGGGGCTATTTAGCACAGAAACACACACACGAAGTACAAATCGGAAAAAAGGACAGGAAGGATGTGATTTTTCGTTCATAAAAGAATATTATATGATTTTTCGTTCATAAAAGAATATTATATGATTTTTCTGGGAATTGTGGTGCTGTGTGGAATCCACAGTTTGCACCACAACGACGTGCAGCCCAATGAGCCTGCTCGGCAAGTGCCGAGACGCGTTGAACGAGCGCGTCGGGACGTGTTTTTACGGTGACGCATCACTTCTGGCTGGTCTCGCAGCTATTCTGGGCTGCTTGATTGATCTGCTGGGCTTCCTCGTCATGGATAGGCCCCGGATAGGGCGTTCTCGAGGACAGAAGACTCAATTCCGGAAGATAGGATCTGCAAAGATTACTGCATTATTGGAGGCTGTCAAGAGATTCTCTGAAGGCTACCCTTTTAATTCTTTACCAGCCAGCTGCTGTAATGCCTGAGTCTGAGGACTCTGAAGAATACTGCTTTATTACTAATATAGAGCACTATATAGACTATAATAGTGCTTCTTATTGTAGATATTATCCATATAGCCCTGTATCTGAGACAACCAATCTACCTCATTGTAGTAGAGCTCACTACCACGAAGGAATATGCCACACAACCCGAGATGAGTAGCGAGGCCGGATTGTGAGACGCGAGTGTGACAATCACGGTCACGCGGACATTCGGCTGGCAGGAGTTGCCGACCCCCAGTACTCAGACGCGACGCGTTTACTGCTGTTTCAAAAACGTAAGGCGCGCGTCGGATTTTTCCTGAAGGGCTCGGAAAAGAAAATTCCGTAACACCTGCGGGAATGCTCGGAATGCTCTAGGACTTTGTACGTAGGAGTTTCGGATATTGGAGAAAAATATGGTAGTCTCGACATCCTATCAAGCAACATTAGAGGCTAATCCTCCAAGAACGGCTTTGCTTTCGTGTCCGATAATCAGGTCAACCATGCCCGAGCCATGCCCGACGCGATGAATGAGTTCCCACGTGCGCGCGAGCGCGTCTTGGTCACTCCTCGGGGACAACTCTCGACTTTCTCAAACGCTCTATGCACTAGTGGTGTCTCTTCGAGTGGCTCATTCGCTACATACATGTATGATAGTGCTTTTAATTACCCATACATGAATTTAGATGTGGTCTTCGGTTTATGGTACTCCTTGTAAGAAAATGACTTCCTTGAGAGAGGATTTTGGTGCCCCTATTGATCAATATTTTTGAGACTATGATAGCACACCCTAAAGTATATCTGCCAAGTATCTAAGCTGTACATCGCCTCCTTCTTCTTCGACAGCCTGATTACTCTCCCAGGAGTGCCTCATTGGCACCCCTGATCTAGACACCCGTCCCGGGCCATTTCTTCTCAGCTTTTCACTACCATATTTTTCTCCAATATCCGAACACCCTAAGTCCTAGAGCATTCCGAGCATTCCCGCAAGTGCTACGGATCTTTCTGAAAACGTAAGGCGCGCGTCGGATTTTTCCGTGCCTAAACGGCCTCAAAACTCGCTCTCCTCATCCGAGTTCCATCTCCATCCCTACATCATTCTGTTCTTCAAGCTCTTTATTGATACCTCGAGCTCAGTCTGCGCGCCTATCTTGTCATGTCCAGACTAACTACGGCAGCCCTCAGTCTAATCCTCGCACTGGTCGCTAGCGCTGCAGTCATCGGCGACACTTCAAGTTCTGGCTCTGGCTCTGGCTTTCCTGGTCGACCCTGGAACTCTACTCTGGATCCCTATCTCGAACCAAGTCTACAAAGTACTGGATACAACGCGACTACAAGTGAAGGCCGGGGCCCCCTAGTCGACTCTGCCAACCTCGACGAGCTCTTCTTCGCCCGGACACCCACGGCCCAGAAAGACACGCGACCGACGCCTGCGCCCACTGGCCACTCTTCTATACTTACCACAGTGCACATTACTAGCGAAGGCGACTTTGCGCTTCTCTTGCCGAAGGATGGAGGTATGCAGCAGACTGATCATGAAGTACAGGAGGCGTTGTGAATGATTCCGTGCGTGTGCTAGAATTGATCTCGGATGCGGAGAACGACGGCTCCGCGTACTGCACCCCGACGAGCGACGGGACGTACTGCAGGAGGCGGTTTGCGGCGGGTCTCATCAGAGCGGCTGCGGTGGAGAAGGCGGGGGACGGTTCGTGGATCCAGGTCCGTGGCGTATCACCTCCCAACTGGCAACTACTAAGTATCACATCTCTTCATTCTTTTCGTGTTCGTGTTGTATTACAGGTGACGGGGTGCCTCGACTCCTCCAAGTACCCCTTCGCGTCGTCGGACGACGGCGGTCAGTTCGATGTGCGCTTCCCCAACGGCGCGCAGTGTGCCTTCGGAGGGTACGGTGCGAGCTTCGTCGAGCAGTACGACTCCATTTCCCTTGTAATTCCGGCTCCTCGTAATACTGACGCGATAGGGTCGAGCCGAGCGCGAACCGCTTCTGCCTCCGGTGCTGCGCGGCCGCGAACGACCAGGAGAACTGCAACTCGCACCAAGACCGCGCGGGGTGTCCTGTGGCGTTCCCGGGCAAGTACGACTTTCCGCAGCTGGGCGTGGACTGCTCTTAGGATCCCGGTTATTCTTTGTTACTCGACGGCTTCTGAGTTCTGTGGGACTCCTCGCGGAAGGCTGATACTGATGCATCACTATCAAGACATCTGCTATAACTTCTGTCTCTGTCATGTATTTGTCGCTTTGTGTCTCGCGTGTAATGAAGAAGTTGAGGTCTAGCTCGGGTCTAGCGTTCCGTTTTTTCTTTCTTTACCCACCACAGCCTGTTTGCCACAGCCGCGATATGTTGCCGTCATTCTGGCCGACTCACAAACTAGCCGTCCGGGAACTGGCGCTCTCTTCCGCCGGCATCGGTGTTAGAGCAACTGTGCTGTTACTGTTTACTCCTCATGTGCTGGATCTCCCTCTCCGAGCTAGTGGGTACGGGCTTCCCGAGGAACTGGCGGTATGGGGGAAAGTAGACAAAGCTGCCATTGTGAGGGGATCCTAGACTCTCACATGAGATGCCTCTTGTACGATCGTCCGCCATTGTCCTTCATCGCTACCAGTGTCTCGCTAAGTTCGGAGCTCTGTGCTCGCATGTCAGTGTCGCGTCTCTTTTCTGATAGCCACACGCTTCGATTGCTTAGCCATCTCCGTTGTCACTCAGCAAGTCCCGAACGACTGCGGGCTCGCTCGTGCCTTCTGTAGAACGGTATATCTCGTGCGTGTTTCGTAAATCGGTCGTATGCATAAAGGTTGAAGCTTTGAAGGACAGCCACTGAACCTTGGGATCATGAAGCCCCTCACTGCCATTCGCGTAGATCCGCCCACCATCTGCTGCGTCTGGTTTCCCCGTCACCCATCCCGAGTCACTCTATCGCAACCTTAACTGCAGTTCTGCCGCGCGCAGGGAGCGTGTTTTTGTTTGCGACTCTCGGTAACATTGACAATCGACGGCACCTGCGAACGGAACTGCCCGGTCGTCTGGCCAGGTTCTCGAGGTTCCGCTGTACATCCGGAATCGCAGATGTCGGTCTTAGTGCAAGAGCACAGTCTGCGCCCTCTTCCTGACGGGTTCCAGGATATCACGCACACGCTCGCCCCTGCTGGGGTTCGTCCGATGTACCGACGACGCACGATGCACCGGGAGGTTGGGTGTGCGCGAGATGTATGTTTCATCCCCCTTCGCTGCTCGTTGCCGCTTATGTCCTTGCTCTCTTCTCAACGCCATATGTATTTGAGAGCCGTCGGGGCCGGAATTTGGCGTTCATTGTTATATGTATGGGTATCAATGAATCTTGGCATCCCTCTAAGATCCTCGCTTAGTGTGTTTCCGTGCGATAGCCATTGTCCTCCATCACTACCAACCATCCACTATGTTCGGGGCATTCGGTCGCCCTACATCTTGTTCGCTTCGTAATCATCAGTGCAGAACAACCACCTGCGCTGCTTCTCCGATCGCTGGACCACGAACTCACACTGTATACTGCTCGTCAAGCGTCAAGTTCCGCCGGTCACGCTCATGCCCTCTACACGTCGTACATCTTTCGTAAATCGGTCTTATGCATGAAGGACAGCCACCTACCCCTGCGATCGTGAGCCTTCACAATGATTCGCGATCGCTGCGCAGATCTGTCCCCCTCTTGTGCTGCGTCCGAGTTCCCTCAGGCTGCCATTGTCACCCACCCCGAGTCACCCAATTGCAACGGCCGGTTTGTCGCGCGCAGGTAGTGAGTTTTGTGACTAGCAATAATCGTGAACAGCAAGCGTTAACGCACCCCCGAATGGGCACGCCATGCTTTATATGTACGCGTGGACTGCCTTGAATGAAGGTGGAAGTGCGAAAGTGCGGACGGGACAGGTGCGCCCGCGAGGATCCCAGCGAACGCGTGGATGTCACGCACCCGCTCAGCTGACCGCGCGCACACCGGTGTGCCTTTGTGATAGCTCCCTCCCGTGCAGACTTAACCCCATTACTGGCCCCGGTAGCACGAACGCTGCTTCTTGCTTCATTACCGAGGATGCCTCGGCGGCGCAAAAGCGTACGACGTTCTTATCTCGAGACTCGAGTAAAGTCGATGCATATGCATAAGGGCTAGAGTAAATTTGGGGGTAGGTACAAGGCGTGAACAACTATATCACCCAGCAACTATTGTACAGAAAGCAAGGCAAAGCAGGACGCGAAGAGCAAGATAGAGAATAGAAATAAGAATGCGGGTCGGTAGTATGGTACAGATGCAGAAAAAAGGAAACCGTGTGCGGTCGCAGGCGAGTGAGATGGGCAGTCAGAGTAAGTGGTACTGGTACAGTATGCCGGGCGTGCGATGCGAGATAAAGAAACTTGAGTATATTGTCCGTAAGTATCGAGACGAAGGGAAGCCGATCATAACGAGAGAAAGGAGGGGTGACATCCAACCGGTGGATGAGCCAGGTTTTCATGCGCATACATCATGTCATGTCATAGCGCCGCGAGGGAGCGAGCGGGAGTTGCATACAAGGCCGGGACTCAGGCCTTTTCGAAGACGAGCTTGCCGTACGGGCCGGGGCGGCTCTTGTCCATCTCGACGCCGACGAGGCGCGTGCGCCCGCCGAGCCAGTCGATGCGCCGCACGCCGCCGTCCCACCCGCCGCCCATCTTCGCGCAGCGCTTCTCGTACGCGTGCGTGACCCTGCGCTGCGCGCGGCTCCCGTGCCCGAGGCCGTCCCACTCCTGCGGGGTCACCCGCGTGAAGAGCGTCGCGTGCAGCGCGTACAGCACGTCGAGGTTGCTGATCGCCTGCGGGGAGCGCGGGCGCAGCGGGCGGGCGGACTTGCTCGGGAAGGCGGTCGACGCGCCGACGACGACGGGCCAGGGGAACTTGTCCGAGGTGAGCACGAGCTGCGAGGTCGTCGCGATGGGCGGCTCGGTGGCCGGCTGCGTGAGCGTGTGCGTGGGGACCGGCTGGCGCGTCGTGCGGTCGACGACGGTGCGCGCGGAGGGCGTGTAGACGACGTCGTACGAGATGGGCGCGTGGTGGAAGCGCGTGTGCGCGAGCAGCGGGTGCATGTTCAGCGGCGGGCACTGCATGTTGCCTTGTACGTGGATCGGGGCGTCTGCGTCACGTAACACGCCCGCCGATTAGATAACGGGAGGGGTGGGTGTGAAGGAGAAAACTTACAGGCTGGCGCGGAGGCGACGCTGGGGGTGGGGTGCCACGAGTGGTTTTGCTTCAGTGGGGGCCGTTCGTCGGCGTAGCGGACACGCTTCGCGGACTTGGGCACCGGCGCGGCCGAGTGCGGGAAGCCGGGGTGCAGTGACGAGGTAGAGTTCGAGCGGGAGCTGGCTGGCGTGGAGTATGCCGAGCGGCTGGACGTCGACCGTGTCGAGCCCGCAAAGTAGGGATAATGGACGCCTGTCAAAGTGCGTTTAGCGCCACTCGTGGGTGACCAAGTGCGAGCGGGCGGCATACCTCCGTAGCTTCCATGCCTCTGCACGGACGGACGCGGGTCGACCGGGATGCTGTGGTGCGAGGTGTACGAGTCGTTTGACTGGTAGCGGAGCGGCGAGGGCCTTGTGGCGTGGGACGTCTGGTACGAGTTGGCGCGCTGCCGCGAGGGCGCGGTGCTCGGGCGCGGGGCAGAGGCGGAGTGCGCCTGCTGGGTGTATACATACGCGGGCGCGGTGGAGGCGGACTGGGAGCGGCTGTGGGAGGGCCGCTGGCCCGGAGCGTGGTGGTGGCTGCTCGAGCCGAACATGTTGCGCAGATAAGAAAGGTACGAATCCATGGCTGAAGAGGAAAGTGTGTATGTACACTAGGAATGTTCGTGAGGACGTGTCGTGGGTCGTGACGGAGGCGCTTTCGAGGTAGCGCAAGGCCGAATCCTCTGGTGTCGCTGGACGCGAGTGGCGGTCTTATATACTTGCATGCACGGTCGCCAGCGCAGCGCTCTAGAACAGGCCTGTCGGGAAGCGGGGAGAGGCCCTTCCTGCCCAGAACGCGTCGAACAAGGCACTGCAGAAACCGCCCCAAAATACCGCCATCACTCTGCACTGATACATATGCCTGCCCATTTTGCCGCCATATACGTGACGATGTGTCTCGAAGAAGATCTCGACTGATGGATGAAGTAAACCGCTGCGATCGTCATTGGAAAACACTGCTCCCGGGCGTCGTTCGCGAAGCCCGCATCCCTTTTGTGGCCGGCGCGTGTTCGGCGCGTGTCGGCTTTAGGGCAGGCGTCGACGCGTCGCTGCCTCCGTCCCATTGGCCTTGGATGACCAGTATCGCATGATATGAACACCGAGCTATGATGTATCAAACGCTGCTTGACGCTGCCTACGGTACCCGCGGAACGCCAGCCAGCCCAATGATAGACCCGGCATCCCCCGCCAATTGCAATCGGTACAATGGCAACGAGGCGCGCACGAATGGGGGCGCGAAGATGAGAGCGGGGGGCGGGCGGGGGGGAGTTTCCGATCGGGAAAAGGAAACAATGCGCCAGGGGCTGGAGAAGGCGGGCGAGATTAAATGCCGGCGTACTCGAAGGATGGATAATGGGAATGGGAAAACACGCCAGCTGGAGTGGATGGGTCCTCGTGACCGTCCGCTATCAGTACTTACTTTCCTTATAGACAGCGAAATACAGGGCGACAGCGGATCTGAGATACAGTAGGTAATTGGTAGTAACGACTGCCATAGCATACATACGGACATACTACAGATCGCTCCGCAGGCATGCTCGTAAAACTGAAACTGGGGCACGATGGGTGCAGCGTCTACGAGCTCCACATTGATTCGGAACTAGCGCAAACCCGAGCAGGGGCGGCAGAGAAGGACGCAGATCGCTCGCTCGCTCGCCCGCCGGCGGGATAACGTTGGAAAGCGAGGGAGGGGAGTCGGGCTGCTGCACTGGGAACGGCGAGACCGAGACCGAGAATCCTTTCCTGGATCGACGGGGTACAGCTAGAGGACGTATGCAGATTCCAGATTCCGGGGATTGGTGGGGTATCTGTCGGAGAATCGGTCGGCGCTGTGCGTGGCCGAGGGGGGAGAAAACAGCGGAGGCAGAAACCTTCGATACACCATTCGAGTACAAGGAAAGTTCTTCTGCTCAGCAGGTCGAATCCCAGCCCGGGTCCTAGCCCAGCACGCGTCGTCGTGGCGCTAGCACACCGCACTCGACGCAACGCCTGACGCAACCTCGGAATCGCGAGCGTAAGCGAGATATTACCAAAAAGCAGTGGAGACCGGGTACTTAGCGCCATCGAATCAGCGCGCACGACCCATCCCCGAAGGTTGAGGCCTCCCCGTACTAGTCGACCGGTTATCGCGGGGGCAGTCAGATGTCCGCGTCGCGTCCCAAGCGAGCGAGCCAGCGCAGACAGATCCGCGCGCAATCTCCGGCAATGGCGAGCACAGGTGCGAGAACGCGCGACCCTTGCGGTACATACCCTCGACGTCTGGTTCCAGGCCCATGGTGTGTTGTACGTACGCAGCGCCGTCCTCGGGGCGGGCGAGCGAGATATGTGGTGTTCCGATTCCGGACGGGCAGAGAGAGATAACGCAGCGAGGACGAACTTCCATGAATACCTGCGCGCGCGGGGGTGACGTCGTCGGCAGGGGCGGCGCAGAATAAGGATAAGGTGGGATTAGCAATGTCGCCATGAGCGACGGTACCGAGTTTCTCCGCGCAGGATGGTGCCGGGATGGGAGGTCGTGCTAAATGCGGGGCGACACGAGGCGGGCGATTTGGCAGCGCCGCAGCGGAGACGTAACTCGTACGATTACAATATATGTGGCTGGAGTGCGCGGATAGGTGGGACTTGCTCGACCTGACGCAGACAGGCTGTGGGTGTGGGTGTGGGTGTGTGCGCGATTAGGCTCGGGTTTGGGTGCAGGTAGGGAGAGGCAGAGCGTGCGTCATGAGAACGAGAACACCGGAAGATGCAATCAGAGAGAACCAGTGCTGGTGACGCCGGCGTGTTCGCGCGATAGTGAGTTCAGTCCAAGTACCCAAGTATAGGAGCGATAACATCCTGCAGGAGTCGTTGTAGAACAGAACACTGAGTTGAACTTTAGCCGTCCCACGAGGCAAGACGGATTCGAGGAGAACGACCGTCGGTGCTGGCGTCGGTGGCGGCGCAGCGCAAGGGGTGGACAATAATAAAATTTTAGACCGCATGATAGGAAATCCTGCTAAGGTCCCAGAGGCCCCCCCCTCCCCCCCGTGGGAGCGTCCCACGGTACCATATCGGGAAGGTAGGTTCCAGGCACATCCAGGTTAGGGTTTGCTGAGTCATCTTTCAGTGCTCCCACACGTCACTCTATTGTCACACTATATGTTGTCACGCTATGTGTTTTCTTCCGTGCAATGGCCAAGACGAGGTTGTCCTGGCTAATAAAGCCCTGTAACCCTCACTAGCAAGCAATTTTAGTACCACCTGTACCGTATCTCTGCCATCAGGGCTGTCACAGAGCCAAATCTATTTTTAATAAATTCCTGTTAAGGCCCTCGAGACCCTCCCCCTCCCCCCTTCATGCGGTCTCGGCTTCTCCCGGTGTCCACCCCTTGGCGCAGCGTGAACTTTGCACAAACAAACAGATCCCGCTTCTTTTCCTTTTTGAGCTCACTTCGCCTTCGTGGCTTTGTCGAGGTGCACGTTCAGCTGCCACACCGCGCTGACCCTGACTTCCAGTACAGCTGTCCCACTCTATTGATAGAAATAGAACCAGCCCAATGTCCTACGAGCATAGGGGATCGGTACAGGGGATGATTTTGTCCACTCGCTGGGCGTGCTGATGGACAGATCTCTGATAGCCCCCAAGTATAGAGAGATGGCGCACTGCAAGTAACCCGCCGGGAGTTTCAATGACATTGAAATATCCACGACAGTATGTGTGCTATTAGCGGCTCACCCTCGACCTCCGGTGCATCACTCACCCGTCCGTCGAGGCGCGCTCTCCTGGACCAGGAGCACCATTCGCGGGTACGTCTCCTTTTTCTTTCCTCAGACCGTCAGATGGAAATGTAAATTCTACAAACCACTAATGGGAATACTAGGAAAGAACATTGATACCGCGGCCCATTGACGCAGGTGATGCGCCACCCCGAGCGCAGATCGCAAGGATCCTCAGCGCGCGGCTTCGGTGTATATTGGCAGGCTCCTGCTGCCAAAGAAGCTCGCGCTTGGCTTCGCGCAGCAGTGCTTTTCCTGATCCTTTGTCTTCTGAGGGGACTCTGATGGAACCGTGGTGTGCACCTCAGCTTACGAACTCCATGGCGAGAAGTAAGTGTCCGAGGAGGTCTAGACTCGCTTTACTCACTTCGATGAATAGACCAAGGCCTTAGCTGTAAATATGCTGTCTGATGTAGATGGGACCAGGCCGTATCCAGTGAACCATCAAGCTTGCCGCTAGAGTGGCTCCACGGCGGAAATTGAGTCGTCGCTCGCCATACTCGCCCTGGCCAGTTGCAGACGTACCTCTCGCGGTCTGGACTCCCCCTGTCTCCACCCGCTCTCTTCTACTGCCGCTGAATGTCTCCCCGTCGCGGCAGAAAAGTCGAGGAATCAGGACGTCCGCGCCGCATCGAGGACTTGCAGATGTGATCTTCCACCGTGGCTATAACCCCTGCTTTCCTGGCGCGAACGGTGGACCCTGCACTCCCCGATCGTTCCAAGTCGCATATCCCACATCTTGGAGGGGCTACGAGGCCGTGGCTGGTACGTCCCCCCGCTCATGCAATATTTACGCCGCCACCTGAGCCAAGGCCCATCTTATGTGTGTGCAAGAGACTCCCCCGATCTAGCATCCACCAGCGCGCTCCTTCTGCCGGTGCTTCATGCTTCATGCCTTTTTTTAACCGCGGATGGGCAATGATACTCGTGTTTCTGACATTTCCCTTGGGCTTTATCCTGACTGCCGGTCTGGTGCCAGCCACCCCGTCGAATTCGACCGCTTTCCCCGTAACTGCGGGGACGGGGGACGGGAAGGCGTGTATGCGCGGATTTTGGCATGTATCCCCCGCTCTATGGCGCCCGCGTCTCACGCTCATTCGAACGCTCCATGCCAGACACTGTGCTCCTCGTGGCTGCCCACTCTAGAACCAGACGCCATACTTACTCTCGCGGCGATACGCATGGACAGCAGCGGGGGATACTCCCGGACCAGCGCGGACTATCCACCATCACGGTAAGCCGAAATCCCCGCTCTGATAACCCACCAAGTCATGGTGATTTGCGGCCAGTCTTCCCGAGGGCGGGGGTCCATCCGCGCTCTGCTCGTGTCTCGTCGCGCCTTGGGTGAACGGCGCAGCCAGGCATGCCGCACATGCTGGCTAGCCACCTGCCTGCCTGCCTGCCCTCCAGCGGCCGATACTCGCTGTGACGCCAACCATTATTGTCGCAAGCAGGCGTTGTATGCACCCAGCAGAGGTGCGCGCGCGCGCGCGCACGGACGGACGGACGCCCGTTTGGTTTGGTTTGATGATCGCAACCACACATGCGTGCTGCGTGCTGGTGCTGGTGAATTCCCTCCGAGGTCGACGCATCAGCCAGAACGGACACTCCTTCCGAGCTCGACGCGATCGGCGACGCACATGCATACAAAACGCAGGGTGCGTCCGCGTTCGTGTTATTATGAATTTCACAAATCCACAACGTGATGACGGCCGTCCCTTCGCCGGTCGCTTAGCCGTGAAAGCTGCCCACAGTCGAGACTATGGGTTCGTCGTGCACGCGGGAACATGGGTATCTGCCAATGGCGATTGTGTATATGTATGTATTCCGTGCGCGGTTACTTTATGAGGACGTGTCGCAGGAGATAACATAGCCCGTTGACGGCCTCCTACTCATCCCGGGACGAGCGAGAGGATATCCGCCGACGCGTCCCATCGGCATAGCGAGGCGTGTACACATGTCCTTTGTCTACACCGCACTGACGTCTGCACCCGCTCTCGTCTCTGGTCGCTTCTAGCGGTCGGTGTATCACCGAAGCTGCTCGCAGCCGACTGGCTGGCCCAGACTCGTCGACGCAAGATGCTGGCGTCGTGCATGCGGGAGGGACAGCTGATGTCGCCTCGACGCAGGCTCCGCTCGCGCACCGTCCACGGCGCGCTCCAGTCTGGTCGTGCACGCCGTGTTGGCAGTCCAGCGTTCACGGACTGATGATTATATATTCACTATGTACGCCCAGGACGAGCGGAGGGATGTCCGCCGACGCCTGCCCACCCCTGCGTCCATCAGCGAGGTGCGTACGCATGCACCCCCGTCATCAGTACTATACTAGTCCACACCGCACTGACCATGGCGTCTGCACCCGCGCTCGCTTCAGAGCGGTGCGTGCACCCCCGTCGCTTCTAGCGGGCCGGGTAATTATCGAAGCTGCGCGAGGGCACGCTGCCCGACGATGCCGACGAGGAAGGCTCAGAGCGTGCGTATGCGGGGTATGTACTTATTCTGGACGATGATGGACTCGAGTCGGGGGGGCTTCGCTCGCTAGCGCTTATCCTTCAATCGTCCGAGGCGCACTCACCAGCCAGCCAGGCAGAGTCACGAACGCTGCGTCTCCTCCTAGCCGTTCTATAATATTAATTCGGCGATCGGGATTGGCTGTATGTATGTATGCATACGGGCATGGGTCTGTAGGTATGCCACCACGTCGGAGTTGGTGATGTGTCGGTACACATGCACGCACACACCGTCGGCTGGCCACGCTCAGAAGAAGGACGCGAAGGTGGTGAAGAGTCTAGACTGGCTGCACGTATGTACATATGTGCCTGCCAGCACACCGCGCTTCACGTAAGGGCGCTCCCGGCGGAGGTGCGGCGTGTCAGAAGAAGCGGGCGTTCGTGTATCCGCCGTAACAGGGCTGGCTGCACACTAGACTTCTACGTTCTATTGGCGTGTTCGTCCAGGAGACGACACTGGAAACTAACCAAGACAGGAGGAGATGCAGGGAAGGAGGGTTTGTCGTATTACTGGCCTCGTACCCTGCTTCGTAGAACGACGAAATGGAATTATCCACCGCTAGTTCTTCCATGGTCGGGCTGCAAGTAGTGCATGAATGGATGAATACACGCCGCCCGGAGTTCCACCCTGGAAAGCGAAACAACAAGTGGTGTCCTCCCACCCGTCAGCGTAGCCCCAGCCTAAGCACGCACGACCCTGTTGCTCTCCTCCCAGCACGCAGCCTGCCAGCGCACCTCGCCAACGACCCCCAGCCCCGACGCGAAGCCACCCGCCCGGCAAGTGCCAGCAGCGATCTCGATCGTCGGTGCCGCCCCGCAACGTGTCCGTCTCTTCACCCGCCGCTTCGCCCTCCCCGACAAGCGAGATTCCTCTCAGTGTTCGTGATTCCCCGTGATGACTGGCGAGCCTCGTGTGCCCGGCGATAGCGCGCTTACTCCCGATGCCTGCTATGCTGGGCAGCGCGGGTTACGTTACGTTGGCGGACGTTTCCAATTAGTCTTGAACAGTAGTAGTGAGTGCAGGCGGTTGTCTCGACTCGCCCTCGTCGCCTGGATTATTTTGGGACCGGAGGTGTACGAAAAGTTTTCTTGGTCCATGGCAGCCAGTGGTTTCGTATTATGGTTCCCCGAACCTGTTCCTTCCTCTCGCCTCACAATCCCGAGTTCCAGTCCATCCTCGCGACGCGTCAACGCGGCGCAGCCCCTCCCAGGATGCAGCGACCATCCGGCGCAGAGGCAGCTGCGGGAACTGCACGCGCATCGCGGACGCAGGGCGGCGCTCCAGTAGTGCGTACTCGACTAGCATTGATTGCACGCACACAACCCCCGCTCAGCCTCCGTCAATCCACGCGACACCACATCGACGCCGCCGGACGACATCCTCCGCTCCGAAAGGGCCTCGTTTCCGCCGCCAGTCGTCCCTCCACGCCGCAAGCAATAACCCCAGCATTGCATCATCTCTGGCGTACCCATACCCACACGCCCCCAGCTTCGCAGGGACCTCGTTGGCGGGTGTCGGATACGGGCCTGCCGCGCTGGTACTAGCGACCGGCATGACTTCGCGGGGCGCTCGGAGGGACGGAAGCGGACGACACACTCTCCCGCTTCCCGACGTTCATCAAGAACAGAGAACAGCCCTGCCGCCCACGACATCTCTCAAAGCGATGGTGATGCGACCACGCCTCGCGAATATTGGCAGGACGCGACCCGGCATCGTTCGCCGCGAGGAGCAGCAGCACCCCCGTTCGCCACGCAACAGCGCTCACTCGGATCGCATTAACCGAAGCATTCGTACATCCAGCCGCCCGCCTCCACCCGCCTCCCCCTCCCGAACGCTCTCACACCACCCCCCGGCTCGCCAGCTCGCTCAAGGTGCGCTTGTGGCTCTCCTGCGCGGCGTTCGCCCACCGGCGCGGCACCTCCCCGTCGGGCTTGCGCATGTCGGGCTCGTAGAACACCTGCCGCGATGCCATTAGCAAAGGAAGGAAGGAAGGAACGGGGCGCGGAGGAGCGCGCACCTCGTACGAGCACACCCCGCGCCACCCCGTGCGCGCGACCGCGCTTATCACGTCCACGACGGGCAAGTACCCCCCGAAGCTGCTCGCGCCCCACCCGCCGCGCTCGACGCACTCGTCCATCCACGGCGCGGGCCGCCACTGGTTGCTCCACGCGTAGCGCGCGTCGACGCCCTGCGCCTTCGCGTCCTTGGCGAGCTGGTGGGGGGAGAAGAGCGGGTTCTGCGGGCCGCTGGCGTCGGAGATCTGGAGGTAGAAGATCGACGAGGGGGGGAGGGTGCGCGCGAGGCGGGAGAGGGAGGCGGAGAGGGTTTGCGTGGGGGCGGGGAGGAGCCCGTGGGGGGCGGTGGGGTCGGCGAAGGCGCGGGCTGTTAGTCATCGGGGGGAGGGTTGAGGGAAGGGGAAAGAGAGAGGGAAAGGGAGGAGAGGCGTACCGCAGATCTGGAAGGTGTCGAGGCAGAGCCCGAAGTTGGGCCTGTCGACGCGTTTGCAGACTTCCCAGGTGTGTTCCCACGTGTTGCTTTGCCACACGGTCAGCTCCCTTCCCACTCGGCAGCGTGAGGAGGTGCTTACACGTACGTCCCCCAGGCCCAGAGCTCGTACGCGCTGGACGATTCGTCAGCATCGAGTACGCAGGAAGGATAAGGAGGAGGGAAGGGAAGGCAAGCGTACATGCGGATGGGCGGGTCCTGCGTGGCAGCCTCGTCCGCGAGCGCGCGGAGGTCGCGCGCCATGTCGTCGTACGAGTCGGAGATGTCGTCTGCGGGCGCGTTGGACGAGCCGACTTGGAGCATGTCGCAGCCGAGGGCCTGGGGCGGTGTCAGACCGGGGAGAGGAGAGGAGGGGAGGGAGAGAGGGACGCACGCTGAGCACCTTGAACCACGCGCGCGCGCGCAGCATGCCCTCCTCTTGCTTCTGCGGGTCCTTGAACCCCTCGAACTGCGAGAACCTGCGCCCGACCCGTTAGTCGCTTCCCGTTCTCCCCGACCCGCGCTGCCACGCACGGATGCACCGCAAACACCTTCACGCGCAGCCCGTCGCACATGCCCCGCACGTCGCGCGCCACCTGCACGAGCGTGTGCAGATCCCCGCGCCCGGCGTTGTCGAGTTTGTGGTAGCCGGGGTGCTGCGACGCGGCGTAGGCCTCGAGGTCGGGGAAGGCGAGCTCGACGAGGGGGAAGCCTGCGCCTGCTATGGACTGGAGCTTGAGCGGGAGGGTGTGGGCGGGGTGCATGCCGGCGGAGTCGGTGCAGTAGGCGAGGGGGAGGGAGGAGAGCGGTTGGGTGGACATGGTGGGTTAGTGTGTAGTGTGTAGTGTGTGCGAGGGAGGTGTTTTGTAGGAGTGGCGGTGGCTGACGGGCGGGTGACGTCATGGCTAGCGTCGAGTGCTAATCTTATCGCAATCAAGTCTGCGTGGCTGACAGTATCTGCCCTGGTGTTTGCCGCTGTCACTCCCTCCGCAGGAGGATGGCGCTGCTAGCTGCTCCATCTGGAGATGCTACAGTGAGTGCCCCGGCACCAGTGCCAGCGCGGTTCAGGAGCGGTCTTCCGGCACCTTGCCCTTGGAGCATGGCCTGGGACTGAGGCCTGAACCAGATCGCGTTTGCCTCTTTCTCAGGTATGACCAGCTTGCCCTGCGGCCATGCCCTTCCTCACCCGAATCGAGCGCGCGTTGCTGACTCGGACCTGAATAAGCCCCTGTGCGCCTTTGTGTTCTTGCTGTCTCCCCCATCGAGCCTCTCGCGTGGACGACGATGTCTCGACGGATCGTGCGGCGATTGCTGGCCCCGATATTCTTCTCCCTGCATAGCACCGGATGCCGCTCCGACTGGAGCGGCGATTCTCCCCGGTAACCCATGGTATGGCGCCTCCTTTCTCATCGCGCTCTTGCTACCGGTGTGAATGCTCGGCCCGACTCGCTTTCGCGTGCCCTTTCGGACCACGTCGTGTCATTTTGCATTCCTCGCCGCTGTGAGTCGTCTCGCTGGGTTTGTGCGAGCTGGCCGACAAGGCGGATGCGGTCGTCTCGCGCGACGCTGTGACCTGGCGCAAATGTATGCGCATGCAACCCTGCCTTGGGAGGTCGGCCTCGCTCTTCGAGAGGCTTCTGTCGGTTTCGGTGCTTGCGGATATTGTACTCAGGTGTTCTGCATCGCGCCCGGCGCATCGCACTCGCCTGGCACCACACGCCCTGGGTTCCCTTCCTGCTGCATTTGTACCATAGTACCGGACCGCATTCGTATTTCTATTGTCTATCTTGCTCTTCGCGCCCTGCCTTGCCTTGCTTTCTGTGCAATAGTTGCTGCGTGATACGGTTGTTCTTACTCCAGCCTTTGTGCATATGCATTACTCCCCAACTGTGGTCTGCACGGGAGGGAGCTGTCACAAAGGCACACGGGCGTGTGCGCGGTCAGCTGCGCGGGTGCGTGCCATCCACGCGTTCGCTGGGATCCTCGCGGGCACACCTTTGAATTCCTGTCCGGATCGTCGCATCTCGCACTTCGCCCTTCGCACTGCAAGTAATTCAATCCAACCGGAAGGCAGTGCGCGCATACATACATACATACATATAAAGCATGGCGGGCCCGTTTGAGGGTGCGTCGGTAGTCACGAAAACACACTCTGTGCGCGCGATAGATCTAGAACGGCAGTTGCGGTACATAGGGCGACTCGGGACGGGTGGAAGGGCACTCGAGCGCACTGGCAGCAAAAGGCCGAAACGGATCGATTCAAGTTGGGCGCACCGATCGCGGATCCCAGTGAAGGCTACATGATCGCGTGGTGGGTGGCTGTGCTCTGTGTATTGATTACGAGGACGTACTATCATTTTGGGGGTTCTGTCAAGATCTCGGAAAACAGCCTGCCACAGGCCCGCTCCTTGGTCAATCATTTTACTTTCAGTCAGGCATCATAATAAACCCTCCTAAGTACCATCTGCGCAAATAACCACCTCAATTGACTGGGCAAAACATAATAGAGAGAGATGCCGGTGACGGACCCACAGTCGCAGGTAGTTCTGTCAAAGCGTCACACGCGAGTCACAGTAAGGAATTCGCGCCAATTTCGTCACACATTTGTCACACCCAGGACCCTTGCACTTCTGTCAAACATATGATAGGAGCAGTTGGAATTGCTTTAACACCAATCGGGTGGGTGAACCATGTTTAGCTATACATAATACAGTGTTCCCCAGTGAGCCGATATTTGCCGGAAGACTGTAGGCCCAGAGATCTAATGCATCAGGCCTGTTTCTCATGATTACACTGGGCTGTTTGGACAGTATTCGTCCTCCCATTCAACAATGGTAGAAGATATGACAGTTCTGACTTCACAGGCGTTCTCTACGGGTTACAATTCACCTATGTACCAATCCGCTAAGTCACCCGTTACATATTTGTTGAGATTTCGGAGTTCTGTCAAAAATCTGACTTTGACAGAACCCCCAAAATGATAGTACATGCGGAGACCCCGAGCGCGACAGACTGCCGGGAAACGTGACAAGCCGTCGACAGTCATGCAGCTCGAGGGCAATGGTCCGGCGATCGAAGAAGCGTCCAGCTGGTTGCTCTGCGCTGGTGATCACGAAGACAGTGGGTGAAGAAGGCTGCGAATCATTGTTACCGACGGTCACAAACCACGACGAAAAAGCGCTCGCGTGACTCGGGATGCGTGATAGGGGAAGGCGAACACAGCGGAAGGTGCGCGGATCTCGGGGCTGAACGATCGCAGGGTTAGGGTGTTGTCCTTTGTGGATGACTACAAAAGCACGCACTGTTCAACGTAGACATGAATGTAACAGGCTTCGAATCCAAAAAGAGTCGGAAGTTGGCAAGTGGCTGGTAGTGATATGGCTGAGTGATCGACGCGTCCAAGTAGGGCTCTGCATTGATAATCACGAAGACGACGAGGTGGAGGACTGTCGGAACTGGGTGAATGGTTGGTAGTGATGGAGGACATTGGCCGACGATTGCGCAGAAGCACACTGACCAAGGCCGCCAAGATTGACTCATACTAGCTCATACATACGACAATGCGTGCCGAGTTCCGGGTCGGAAGGCACTCACGATGCATGTGGCAGGTTTACTGCTCCGTCAAAACCATGGAACACTCAGAGAGCACATAATCACTCGCTCGGGAGGCGATCAAGGACATAAGGGACAAATTGAAAGAGGAAAAATACTGTTGCTGACCGGCGGTTTGTGGCTCCGTCAGCTCGAAAATTACAGACCCACCGGGGCTGACATGGGAGAGAAGATCACGCTAGACCCCAGGTGGGCCATAGGTGCTGGCTGTACGTCAGACATGATACGACAAATACAATGGGGAAGCGAGGAGGGATGATAGCGAGTCTCTTGACGAAGTCTGGGGCACGTCAGTGTGTCCAAACCTTCGTCGCGCAGTCCCAGAGAACCGAAAACCGAAAAGTACTCAGGTCCAGGAGTCGCGGCCGTCGCTCGAAGAGCAGCCTACGCCCAATGCTGGCAAGTCGTACTTGATCGGGACAGCCACAGGAGACCCAGAATGGTTATCATGCGATTGACAGTTTTCCTGTTCGTTCGCGGAGAAGCAGCGCGAGAGGCAGAAGCCGTGCGCGGTCGGCTCAACCCTTCCGTACTTAACACCATTGCGGCAGGTGCGAAACAGAGAGAGGAGGGCAACATGACACTGCTCAATAAAGCTCGCGCTGTACCCTCCGAGCCGACATTGTGCGCCTTTGGGAAGCGTACGTCGAACTGATCGAGGGCGTGAGACGGTACGTGGAGGAGTCGAGGCACCCTGTCGCCTGCAATGCAAGTACGAATATGAAGCTATCGGAAAACAATGGGATACGAACCTGGATCCACGAACCATTCCCCGCCTTCTCTACCGCCGCTACTCTGACAGGTACCGCGGCAAACCAGCTCCTGAAGTTACGTCCCGTAGCTCGTCGGGGTGCAGTGCACTGAGCCATCCTTCTCCGAGAGCAATGTTCGGACCAAGAACAGCTCAACAACGTCGGGAAAGTCAAGTTGTGTTCCTCGGCATTCGGTTGCCGTCGTGTTACTAGTATATACAGTTACTTGTTGCCTCCATTCGAGGCGAGAATGCAGGCTAGAGTTTCATGGTTGACTAGGAACGCCAGAGCCCGAGAGAGAAAACGTCGCCGATGACTACAGCGCTGGCGACAAGCGTCAGTGATGGACTACAGAGTCCATGTAGTTATCCTGCACATAACCCAGTCGCTTAGTGAAAGGCCAGAGATAAAGGGCTTGAAAAGGAACCTAGGTTCGAAGAGGAGTGTGACTCAGACGCGTCGCGCCGCGGCGGACTTCAACGGAGACGCGCATCACATTGCTTTCTTCCCTGCCACCATGTCCAGGCCTACTCCAAGCCTTACCGGAATGGCCTAACAGCTTGAGGGCATCGCGTCTCAACTAGCGGGGCGTTGCACGAAGACGGCTGTTCAAGAGCTCAAGATTGACTTAGGCCCGCTATACCAGCGCTCTTGAAGTATCCCCTGACGCGTTTGCATGTGCGCATACGCGCCAGTAGATACTCCAAGGTACCTGATGTACGGGCATGACTGGAAGACATACCATATGCAATGTGAGGAACGTGGCGGTACGGAAGTTGGTCGTTTTGCTGAAATGGCTTAGGCTTCGAAGAGGGCACTGTTGTCGGTTCACCAGAATGGCGTCTGATTGATCCTAGCGCACCGGTAAATATTCCACATTGGCCTGGAAGGTGACTTGTCATCCGCAATAACGTGCTGGCTTCTGTTACCTCCCCGAGCTCAGTCGTCGCGATTGGCGTTCCCCACTGTCTTCCTGTGGAAGCCTCCCTGGACGGTGTAGACTGGAGAAATTTTCACTGAAAAAAGGGTCACAGTACCTCCCGCACCTGTCACTGATCGCGGAGAGCTCCCTCGCTTCATTCAACGGGTACAAGTTACTTCCGCTCATACTTCGGGGACAGCATGGCCATCATATGCGAGCGGCCTGTTGAAGCACCTGTCCACTTCAGCCCCTACGACGCTTGGGTTACGCAAGCCTCTCGCCGGCCATGCAAGAGCGATTCCTCACGGACCCCGATTGTCGGATTGTGATTCTCACCTTGCAAGGTTCATCCACCCATGAGATACTGAAAGATGCACTGATGAGAAACGGAAGAAAGTGGACAACAGGGTAAAAGAGTGACTGACTTGCGCACGTACCAGGCTACGCAGGGACTCCTACATCTGCCACACGCGACATGACGACGATCCTCCGCAGAAGGTGCCTGCTTGTCTAAGGCAGAGACGTTCGAGCGAAATCAGAGTTGTGGTAGTCCTCAGGACTCCGTTTGCCACCAACGTATTCTAGACGAGTATATCGATCAAAGAGCGATGCCGCAGGATTGACGTCCCATCTCAAGGACGACTCCGATAGGATGAAGGCTCCATGAGCAGAAAAAGGGCGAGACTAGCGTATGTCGATGGAATGAGAAAGAGGTGCGGTATCGATCAGGACAACTACGCGGAAGCAAGGCGGGTTGTTTGTGGCAGAAGTGGCGATACAACCCAATCACGTCCAAACTAAGACAAACATGTTGATGTTGAGCCACTCGCGGCTTCACCACCCTGGCGTTCAGCAAGCCATCTGCCCTCAAACGTCCCGCAACTCCTCGAATTCACTTCTATACTTATCGCTGATATCAAGTATGTCCCATTCTACATGCATGCCACCTTTGATCGACTAATCGTTGTTCCCCCTCCCTAGTACTATCAAGATGAGTGGCTCAAAGACCACCTCTCGCGCTTTGACCAGGCAGGGTAGAGCTGCAGAAAGTAGCTCGTCAGTGAGACGTCGGGGTGCCCGAGTCTTCGGTGACTTTCCAACCGAAAAGCTTATTAGCCGTGCGTTGGCTGAGTAGACGACGCAGGTGGATCTGTGGCCGCGATATCAAAATTGTCCAAGGAACTATTGCTCAGTGTGTTCAAGTACTACTGCTTGGATACATCACCAGCATCTCAGCCACCAGCTTTCGTACTTTCTGCGGTCAGTGCCCAATGGCGTTCCCTTGTGGTCGAGACGTCCGAGCTGTGGGAGGAGATCAACGTAAACTGCTCCACTCGGGAAAAGCTGTTAATCTTGCAGCTCGATCGGTCCAGGCAGCGTCCCCTTACCATCAGGGTTTATCTGCAACCGCCGTCCCTGTACACCGGGAAATGCATCTCCTTGCAGGCCATCCACAGCTGTCTCAAGACGATCGCAGCTGAGGCCCACCGCTGGCGGGAATTTGACCTCTGCTATCACAGCTTCTCTAAATTACATTACTGTCTGAATCCCCAACTTGTCTTGCGGCCTTTGCACGTCATCAAAGCACCCAAACTCCGTCGGCTCCGAATCGAGGCGGTTGGGCGGGACGACTTTCGTGACGCCTTGAGGATAGATGCCCCCGTCTGCCATGATGTTACCCTCCATGGGTCGTTGGGAGTTTTCTTCCATTATGAAATGCCAATCCCCTGGGGAATCACCACACTCTCGCTTGAATACTTCCCTTCATACGCCCCTCTCGAGTTCCGGCTATTTCAGGCCCTTGAGGCTTTGCCACGCCTGACAACCCTCACAATCAAACGGGACATTGTTTGGGCTAAACGATTGCCTTCGCAGCGCCCCATCGTGCTGCCGGACTTGAAGGAATATATTCTGGTTGATATGCCAGAGTTGTTTGACTCCTGGTACCTTGGTGGACTCGAGCCTCTTTTCAGAGATTTGGAACTGCCGAATTTGGAGTCACTTACATTCCGCGAACCCTCCTTGTCCCTTCTGCGAGCATTTGTTGAGGCCATATATCCCTCATGCCACCTCTTCAAATCCTGCAGTTGCCGTGGTGCTGGGTGCCTTGCGATGCCGTCGCTTCTATCACGCCTGGAAGGAAAACCGGTTAGATACCCCCAGCTGTCGGCATTTCATTTGGAAGGCAACTTCCCTTATCCTCGTGACGACCGCATTCGAGACCATTTCTTTGCGGCATTGTCCCCCGTGGCCGACATTTACGTCGATGCTTCCTGCGTACTGAACTTTGTACGGGCACTCGTTGCGACACTCGAATTTCGCATCGTCTGGTGGGCTTTTCGCAGCCACCGCCTCATAATCCCTCAATGGTCTCCGGACATTGACAACGACGAGCTCATATCATGGCTTTCCTCTTCGGTCACCCAACGCCGGTTTCAGGGCTTGCGCACTCGGAGAGCGGAATTCGAGCGCTACTGTTCACCTGAGATACAAATGGAGTTGCGGGAGCTTATAAGGATTGACTTCGAAGAACCCGATTGCTCAGTTGGATAGTCTGGTGGAAGCAGGACACTTAGCAAGCGGCAAGGTGTTTGGTGGCAGGGCGGGCGATTCGGATACATTGAATCGTGATATATGTATTACAATATCTCTCACAAAGGAATGCACGAGTCTGTTAGGGCCAGCGCAACAGGAACTGATGCAAAGAAAGCGTGGTGTCGAGACATACCATGTCCGGTCACGATCATGTTTCTTGACACTGAGCTGCCACTCTCGTTGCGCAAAATCGCTGCTCGCTCGTGCAATTATCAGCTGTTCTCTCTCTGCGGAGGACTCTCACAAGGACCTTTGAATGCAGAGGGTGCTATTTATCCCAATCATCCGTAGTATGCATCACGATGGCGACGCCAAGGTCAGGGTCTAAACGAAAGGAATCAAGTTACTTTCTACCACTCTAAAGTCAATATGTCGACTCACGGAATGCACGCTTTCCGCCCTTCCTAGTCTCGCATATACAAGTGGCAAGGGTGTTTTCACCAGAAGACGTATTAGTGTGTCAAGTACGGTAATGAGCTAGCACAATGCAGAAGAATGAACAATCTGGAGGACAAGAATTCGTGCATGGTCGGACATAAGTATGCGAGGATACGAGACGATGGGTTGCGTACACTGGAATGGAGAGAGAGAGAATATTGCCGAGAATTATTAATTTGAAGAGAAGAATTGAAACCGTGATTACGAGTCATCAGGAGCAGGCACGTAGTTCCAACCCCAGGGTGCGTCCGGAGCCTGAGCACATGGGTACAAGGATCCATCAGCACTAAAAGCAATGCGACAGCGCTGGCGTTCATGGAGATCATAGAATATTCCATCACGGGATCCTCCAGAAGTCGTGTCACGGACGTCGTCGAGGTAAGAGTGATGTGCATAGTATGACAGTGCGGCGCACACTTGGGTAGAAACCGGTCCCCAAGCATCTGGAAGGCACGGCCGAGGACTGTAATGAGCAGAGGATTGGCAATCGCTGCCTTGGCCTGCAAAGGCTTCAGGAACAGTATGAGAGTAGGTCCCAGAGCTCATTATTCTTGCATTTTGCCTGAGCAAATCAGAATCATAGGAGATATGCCACCAACCAGGGGTTTGCAATGATGGACGAGGGCTTGCTTCCATAGGAGAACCGCTGACGATGGAGAGGTACGATAGACGATCATATCCAACAAAGGACACACCAGGGCTGCTTTCTCCTGGAAGCGATCCAGAGTCACTGGACGAGTTATACTCCAGGTCAGAAAAGAGACTGTAATCTGACACTGTTATTTCGATGTTCCGCGCCGGCGAGTCGGGACCATGGAAGAGGCCCCATTCATCAGGGCTGTCAAGCGCAGGCATTGGATCCAGGAGGCCGTCGAATCTTACGGATTACGGTTCGTCAGGAAGATACAAGCCAGAATCACGTCCTGATTGATTCTCAGGAATATGCGGCGGGCGCATCATGGGTGATTGATGCCCACTAGGAAAACTAGCTGGGCTCACGACCGGCATCCATATGAGGGCAGGAGTATCAGCAGAAGGAACATGCGCAGCGGGAACCTGCTCCCAGGGGGCGGAGGAGAATCAGACTCGGAGAGGACGGGTGTGAGGTGACTTAAGCCACTCACGCAGTCGACTGGATTTCGTTACAGTATTGCTGCTTTACGGAGGATACGGAACTTGACTCTTCCAGACGTCGTGAAGAATGCTCCTGGTTAGGCACCCATCACATCTCGCGCCTCTAGTGATTTTAGACTCCTTCCTCGAAGCGAAGGCCTCGGGCTGGGGATTTCCATGTTCGGCGCGCGACATGAGCTATCCCTTCACGGACGAGTTGCATTGGATCGGTAACACCGGCAGCCAACCGGCGGCCTGCCTAGTACTTCCTGTTCTGTACATCTGGTAGTGTTCATTTCCAGAAACCGGTACCCTTGGCCGCTTATTTACCAGCGCAGGCAAACAGTCGTGATCAGTCATTGACTACTTCAGTTGATTTCCGTCCCCCACTTTCTGCCACAGCTGCCGTGGCTGCCAGCGTTATTGCTAGGTACCTCGGTTCAGATGGGCAAGGATGCGCGGAGCGGTGGGCACCCATTCGATCATCAATATGTATTCATGCGCATTAGGGGGTGTATAAGTGTTAAATACAATCATGAGTATGAGCAGCAGATAAAAGACAGTGATGACGCAGAATACATACATGATGGGATAACATGTAAGGAATATAACACAACAAGCAGCATACGTGTAACATAGAGAGAGATACTGAAGAGATGGAGGACGAGCACCAGGAAAAACTTAAGACGTAACTAGTTGACTACTGGTCACCACAATCATAGGAGACGAGCAACTCAGTACAATCTCCAGGCCGCGTCTGGAGTACTACCCGGGAATGAGGACCGATCAGAATCGGAATGAACGGTAGCAGGGGACATCAGATCTCCCTGTTGGCCAGCTGCCTCATCTTCAAAGTAAAACTGACAGGTGTATCGGCCGTAAGATGGTCCAGCGCTCCGTTGCGCAGGACCCGCCCCACCGGCATCAGGGAGGTAAGGCTGCAGTCTGTATTGAACAGGGGATGAGGAGGTGCTGATTTCGCTCTGATATTTTTCAGGAGCATTGTGAAGGTAGTGTTGGACACTGTATGACGGATCAAGGAAGAGGTTGGGGTCCGGCCGCATCATCCCAGTATTCCGCGCTAGCGCGTCAGGGTCATAGAAGGCACCCCAGGGATCGAGGTTCTCCAAGGATAGAACCGTACCTGGCTCGACAGGAGACCCACCTTGGGCATCCGGACGGTAAGAGCGGGGTCCATACTGAACAGAGAATGGGGTATCCTCCTCAGATAGATCATAAAGGTGACTTTGGAAGCTGCCCTGCAGGCCGGACAAGATACTGCGGTCCGGCCCCGTAATTGTGGCATCCTGCCCCAGTGAGTCACAACTATGGAGGTGACCCCTGGTGTTGTCATTCTCGAGTGCAGGCAACGAACCCAAGAGGTTATTGAACCTCGCCGATGGCAAGTCATCAGGCAGATACAGCCCACAATCGTTTTCCACGTGGTCCTGAGTATCCCCAGGGGATATCACTGGTGTCTGTGGGTCGCTTGGGAGACTTCTTCTATCCATGGACGGTGTCCATACGACAGCGGGAGTTGCCTCAGAGAAATCCAGGCACGATAGAAATCCGGTCCTCTGGCAGCACCTGCAAAGGAGGGCTGGAATGCGCAAGTGTGGCAGGGCTCGGGTGATGGATATTCGAGTAATCCAACTCCCCGTGCCTGGTCAAGTTGAAGTCGGCAAAGAACGTGCTAGGACAAGCTTCT